CTAATTTCTATCCTGTCTTACCTCCTTTTTTTCCTCCTCCATCATTACACTTGTATCAATAATTGAATTTCCATTTCCCCTCGTTACAATATTTTGGGACTTTTCCAAGGATTGAAGTAACAATTATTTACTTGGGTGGTATAAATTTTATTAGGATCAACCAAAACAAAATAAGATTTAAAAATGAAGACTGAATTTTTCTAACATGTTCTATTGTTGTTTAACTTAAATTATTTTGTGGTCTTATTGTTTTGGGTAAATTTTTTTTATCTCTCTTGAGGTTTGTCAATATCCCACATAAACCTCCTTTATGTTTCATAAAATCATATATTTTGTTTGTGATTATTTTCTATTTATATTATTGAATATGTTTACTAAAAAGTATTAATCAGGATATGAAAAAATTTTAAAAGAAGAGAAGAATAGATTATTAATTCAATCTAAAAATAAACTTATTACAATTAATAATCAAAATATAACAAAAATAATAATAATAATTGCCTAATAATCAAAATATAACCAAAAAAATTGGTGAAAATTCAAGAACAACCAAGTCATTTAAAAGAATAAGAAGAATATAGACTGATGAATTTTTAATAAGCATTATTAACTATCTCTTTTATATTTTTCGTTTAAGATCTCAAATTATATTTAGCGCCTCTGTGTGAAACAAACTAAAGAATTGGAGAAAAACTTTAATGAGGTGCCAAAACATGATATCATGCACTATTAAAACATTGACACGTAATGATAAGAGTCATTGAAATTGATGCATTCTTACTTATTTGACAAGGTATAATTGTATAATAGGATGGAGGAATTTCTCTAATGTTGCATTTGGTGTGTATGAATGGAATAGAATGGAATGCCCATTCCAACCATTCATTTGTTTGTTATGCAATTTAAAGTGGAAATGGCTATTCTTGAAAATGAAAATTCATTCCACAACTAAACCTATGGAATGATCATCCATTCCCAAGTAATTTTTTAAAAGTAATTTTTAAGGAAAAAAATCAACTTCCTAAAAAACCCTCATGTTCCTAGTCCAAAAACCACCACCACCACCATTGCCGCTACCACTACCACCACTATCACCATCACCTTCCACCACAACCACCTCCACATTTTATCACCACAACCTCCACCACTATCACCACCTCCACCGACTTCCACTACCTCCCCTGCCACCGTCACCGACTTCCACCACCGCTTTCCACCGCCACCAAGGGTGGATCTAGGTTTCTCATTGGGGTGGGCTAATATTAAACATAAATTTAATAACAAAATTTCTTAAGCTCGTCTAACCTCATCCATTCGATTTACCCGGTATTCATGTATTTGAATACGTAACCCAGGATCTCTTTCAATAGAAGTGGAGTGAAGTTAATTGGGTTCAACAACTTGAGGTAGGGAAGGAGGTTGCAAATCAAGATCACTATGTATATCCTTTTTCGATTGATCATCGTCAACATTAGATGCACTACCACTAGGTATATCCTTTTTCAATTGACCATCGTCACTCATTTGGCCTCTCTTTTGGTAGAATGAATGATAGAATAAACATACTTTTCACTTTCTTTATATCCTTTTTCGATTGATCATTGTCAACATTAGATGCACTACCACTAGGTATATCCTTTTTCGATTGACCATCATCACTCATTTGGCCTCTCATTTGATAGAATGAATGATAGAATAGACATACTTTTCACTTTCTTGTTTGAAGGTTGATGTTGAGCCATTATTATTTTTAACCTAATAAAATTAAAGGAGGAGTTAAATTAAAAATACCTAAATCAAAATATATCAACCAAAGCCAACTATTGTTTAGTTCTATTTTAGTTTGCAAAACAAGTAATTTTAAGTAATTTACCTAAATCAATTTTGTTACGTTATATTGTACTTCGTTTCATATACAATTATAAAAATATACAATTGGGTGCCCATATTAATTGACAGATTTATGTTTTATGCAGTTAACATCCAATTTATTATTAGCATGAAAAAATCTGGAATAAAAAAATATATATTTATTGAAAAATTGAAGAAATGACTTACCTTGAATGTCAATTGATCCAATTTGTTGTGCTTTATACTTAAGTCTGAAGTGATGAAAGCACTCCAATTTGTTGACCTTCAGCGGTTCAGCTTGTTCAAGACTCAAGTTCAACCCAAATGTCTTTCAAATCCTGCAAATGGAGATCCTGATTCAGTCATTATCTTCACAAATATTTATAACTAAAATTCATAAAATAAAATAAAAATTATATAAAAAAAGATCATAAAAAATTTAACCAAATGCAAAACAAGAATTACAGACCTTGATAAGTTGATTTAGAAAAAAAAATAATAAATAAATTTAAATAAATAAATTAGGACAAAGCCTATACATTGTACTTCGATATGACAGTAAAACACGCCTGGATAAAAATAAAAATAAAATTAAAATTCGTCCACCAAATCTAAATTAATTTACAACAATTCATTACCTGACGCAAGATACAAAAAAAAAAAAAAAAAAAAAAGATTGCGTGATTCAATTCAAGAATTTGGAGGAAAAATGAGGGGAAAAAAAGAATTTGCGAACGTGGAAGGGTATTGAATTGACTCACTGACACCAGTGTGAGCAGCCAATCGAGACGTTCTTTTGCCTTTGGTGAAGAGATCGAAACCTAGCTTGGACTCGAGCTCTTCTTCGGTGATGAATCTGATGATGTTTTTCGAAATTCTTGGGTGGGAAGCTGAAATGATGTTTTGCCATGTTGGGTGGGAGGTTGAAAGGAGGCGAACGTGGAGACGAAATGATTTGCCCTAAATTTTTATTATTTTATTATTTTATTTATTTATTATTTTTTCTATCGGGTGGCCGGCCCATGTTTGGTTTGGACCATTATTATGGTAGATGAGTTAACTTGGGTGTGATTGGGTGGGCTAATCCTATTCATAATAATAATAATAATAATTATTATTATTATTATTATTTTGGTGCTCAAGCCCACTTGGCCCACCCCTCCACCCGCCTTTGATCGTCACCGCCACCGCCACCACCGCCACCATTTCCACATTCCGCCACCGCCACCAACTTTCACCACTGCAACCGCCACCACCGTCAACTCCACTACCTTTCACCGCCTCCACCATCAACTTTTATCACCGCAATCGCCTTCCACCACCACCATCCACTACCAGTGCCGCCACCGCCTTCAACCGCTGCCAGTGCCTTCAACAACCACCACTCCCTTCAACCAACACCACCATCTACTACCACCGCCGCCACCACCTTCCACCACCGCCGCTGCTTTCTACCATTACCACCTCTGCCACCGACTTTCACCACCGCCACTGCCTCCCACCACGACCACCTTTCATCACCACCGTTACCTCCATTGCCTTCCACCACCGCCACCTTCCATTATTTCCTTCCAGCACCACCACCACCACACTACTACCACCGTCGCTACCTTCCACTTCACCGCCACCGCCCACTTCACCGCCATGCAGTGCTGCCGCCATTTCTTTTAAAAAAATTATAGAAAATTGTTATTTTGTTAATTTAATAAAAGTTTTTTTGTGCCAAAAAAAAAAAACTTTAAAACGATAAAATAAAATACCTAAATTACCCTCCATTATTTCAAATACATTATTATTGTTAATAAAATTGTTAGACCTTTTTACCCTCAACTCATTTCCTCGCTTTCTTCTGCACTTCTCCTATAGCGGATTCATCACCGGTCCAAGTGGTCTCCAATGGCCTCTAGCACAGAGCTTTGGGGGTCTACTTTTCCTCCCATTATTTTCTTCATCCTCACTAGGGTTCAAAGCAATTACTTTCCTCTGATTACAATCTATGTTTCAGCTAATTATTTAGTATGGGCTGAGCTCCTCCAAAATTAGCTGCAGAGTCCCACTTCTCTCTCTACCAGTCTACAGTTCTCTCTCTACGTTTTCATTTTTCAATGAGAAATCATGTCTTTAGGGGGAACGAAGGGGATGGATTTAAGGATGGTGCCGTACGGGTGCGACATCAAGCCTGAGAGCGGCACCACCACAGAACCGGTGCTCGACCGGACCCGCGAACCGTCGGTAAACCGGTGGTTATGAACCCCAAACCTACCGCCAAAATCAAGTACCGCCAGTGCATGAGGAACCATGCAGCCACGATCGGCGGCCACGCCAATGACGGTTGCGGCGAGTTCATATCCTCCTCCGCCGACCCACTAACATGCGCCGCCTAAGGATGCCACCACAACTTCCACCGCAAAGAAGTACAAGGCGGCGGCCACCACTACCGCAGCATGCTGCATTCTTCGCCGCCACCGGCAATGTTGACGTATAACACCGGACCCACCAATAAAATCGGAGGGTTTGCTACAATGGGTCCCACTAGTGCTCATCTGAACGGTGGTGGGTTGTTTGGAGACATTGATCTACATGATCATCACGATCATAAGGTTGATCGACGGTCGGAGACGCCGGAGAGAAAGGGGGTGGTGTTGATGGGTCCACCGGGGCAATGTCGTCGGCAGCGGTGGCGAGGAACAAGAGGTTCAAAACGAAGTTTACGCAGCAATAGAAAGAGAGGATGTTGGAGTTTGTAGAGAAGTTAGGATAGAGGATTATGGAGGCAAGATGACGTCGCATTGAACCAATTTTGTGGGGTCAAGCGTAAAATGCCGCACGTATCAGAAATATATTTTTCATGGTAAAATAAAGTTAAGGGTATAATAATAAATTCACATTTTTTATATTTTAAAAAGAGAATGCGAGAACAAAATTGACTAAGATTTAATACGGGATAATAAATCTAAGGAAGTGTGAGAGTATTTAACCCTTTGTTTTATTTTCACTTACATTTCATTATATTCCAGCATATCATACACAGTATATTGGAAGTGCAGAGTAACGGAGTGAACTAAAACGACGACATTTTAGGTGAGACGCCGTGAACCATACAAAAGGTAACACGTTGCTTTCTTTTCTGCTGACGGTTCCAAAAATAGTTGGTTTCCTAACGACCCCAATCCCACTCTCGCCGTTGGCGCGTGAGATCGGAATGCTCGAAACCTCTCTCACTGGCATTTAGGTCGGAGCTCGCTTTCCTACTCCCTGTAAAAACTCCATCAAATTCGCCGATCCCCTCTCTCTCTTTCTACTCTCTCTAGGTCTAGGACATGGGTTTCACAGCTACTTCAGTTCTCTTCACTATCAGTGTTGCCCTATTAATATCAGCCATTGGATCAGCTCATGCCTCTGTTCACATCTACGACCGAGATTCGTTCAGAGAAGTCGGCAATGCTTTCCTTCTCTCCGGCGGCAGCGAAGGCATCGTCGCTTCTCTCACCGCCGTTCCTCTCACCGACAATTCGATCCCATCGTCAATTCATGATGGCCGTTCTTATATCAGGTAATATATATACATATATTTATGTCTGTATATACATATATATATGTGTGTGTATGTGTGTGTTATATATGTTGAATTTCATTTGCTATTGGTGAATTTGGTGTCAGATCTGCAACTATATTGCCTCTATGCTTGAATTTCCTCAACTTTCTGTTTGGTTGCTGCGAAAATTGAAGAGAAGGAATGATGAACAATAACAATTACATTCTTGTGTATTGCATTATTTAAATTCAGAAATCCATATTTCAGAATGCTCACTTGAAATAAGCCAAATGTAGTTGTATCAAGCTAAATTGAATATGTTGTTTTATATGATGAAGATCTGCAATTCAAAATCTTCATTTTTTTTTTTATTTTTTTATTTTTTATGTAAATTTTCTCAGAACCAAAATAGAAAAGTAATTCTAGAGAGACTGAGCTCAGCATCGTTAACAATGTCTGGCCTGTGATGCTGATCAAGTTTCAGTTATGTTCTAAGTTGGAGTTAGAAAGCAAATCCCCAATGATTCAGTTTAAGTTATATCATTGTCGTTGTATCCTGAATTCAATTTCTTAGTGTCATGCATAAAGGTAGATCTTTGAAAGATAATTAGAGTGTCGTCATGAAAAGAATTCATATTTTTCAAGTTTTCAAGAGAAGAATCCCCTTTGAGGAAAATCTAAACTTTTTGTTAATTATTGAGATTCTGTTACATGGATGTTCTCTTTAGGTCTCTACATGACTGCATGATCTCGCCATACATCATTTTCAGTCATCAGTTCTAGCTAAAATACTTCGTAAAAGATTGAACTGAGACCAAGTCTTTCCAAAGTCAAATTGTCTAGATTAATAAACGCCAAGCCAGCAGTTCTACGAGTTTCTTTGCTTCATACGTTAATTCTGCATTAATGGAGGAAACCTTATCTCAATACTCCTGTACTTCCTTATTATGTTGTCATCCTTATCATTTGTGGTATGCGAAGTTGAGGAAATGGATTTTAAAGCAGTAAATTTGATGTTTGGAGTGGCTGATAATCTGAAGGAAGCTTTTGAGAAATGAGTGTACTGATTTGAAGTTGTGAAAAAAAAAAAAAAAAAAAAAAAAAAAGAAGAGAAAGAGAGAGAGAGAGAGAATAAGAAGAAGAAAAGAAAAGGATTAGTAATGTAAATTTTTTATTGCGGTTTTGAGAGAGAGAGATGAGAGGTTTAACACACTGGCAGTATCTACAGTAGGATATAACAATATATACATCTTTGCAGTCTCATAAATCCATTACTAAATAGAACGCCAAACTACCTTCCTACTTTTGAGGGGCAGTTATCCGACCAATCTTTATGATATTCCTCAAGTTGTCTGTGTAGTCATTGCTGGCTATCTAAACAAATAAAAGGTGAAGAATCAATTTCTAGATTAAATTGTGATACATCATCTCTTAACTTTTTCTCACCTCCTATTCTCAGATTCCCACTGTCACTCTCTCTCTCATTTTGCCCTCCTACATCTTTCGAGCCATGATCACGTGTCTAGTGTGTGACTTTTCCATAAAAAGTATTAGACACATGCACTTACTATTAGTACTTTTTTGGGAAATATCCTTGATGTTTTTTTTTTCGTCTGAAGTTTGACCTCTGAAACTAATGCTGGAACAGATTTGAGAATATTACATTTTGGAGGAGTAAAGAAGCTGCAGACAAGCATTCAGATATGGAACATAGTACAGGATTGATACAAGTTATAATATTTGAGGCGGCTGATCGTGATAATATCGGTGGTTCAGCTTACGGTGGACAGAGGTCTATCTGTTGCACCCCTGATCTTGCTAAGCTGGAAGGTTGCAAACAAGGTGAAGTCATTAGAATTCCTTCTGCAACTGATATTAACTGGCCTGTCGTCTTAAATGTACAATTCAGTGGCAACTTTTTATCCACACATTTGGAAAACAAGGAGGTTTACATCACAAAAACTGGGATGTACAACTTGTTTTTTATATCATGTGATCCAAATCTCAAGGAACTGACCATGAGTGGGAAAACATTGTGGAAGAATCCTGATGGCTATTTACCTGGTAGAATGGCCCCATTAATGAAGTTTTATGTGGTTATGTCTCTTGCTTATGCACTGCTTAGTATAATCTGGATTTCTCAGTACATGAGATTTTGGAAGGATATATTGCAACTTCAGCACTGCATCACTGTTGTTATTGCTCTTGGGTTGTTTGAGATGTCTCTTTGGTATTTTGAATATGCACACTTTAACAATACTGGAACAAGGCCAGTTGGCATTACAAGCTGGGTTGTGACAGTTGGAGCCATAAGGAGAACTGTTTCACGCCTTCTTATCCTCTGCGTTTCAATGGGTTATGGTGTTGTCCGCCCTACTCTTGGAGGTCTTACCACAAAGGTGCTGCTTCTTGGAATAACGTATTTCTTAGCATCTGAGTTGCTGAATATTACTGAGTATGTAGGAACCATAAATGATGTGGCAGGAAGAGCAAGAGTCTTCCTAGTCCTTCCTGATGCATTTTTGGATGCATTTCTAATATTGTGGATATTCACTTCTCTTTCAAAGACACTAGAGCAGCTACAGGTATCATCTTTTCTATTTTCCTGTTCAAGTTCTCATTTTGAAGGCCACTTGACTTAGTTGTGATAGCATCAGAACTATTCTTTATTCTTTTTGCTGTTACTATTTTCTTCCCCATACTGTATTCTATTTAGACACCATTTTTATCTATCCAGGCGAAGAGGAGTTCTGTTAAGTTGGACATTTATAGGAAGTTTTCAAATGCCTTAGCAGTAACAGTGATAGCTTCAGTTGCTTGGATTGGATATGAGGTATGCTTTTAGTGGATAGATATACTTTAATTTAATTATATGAGGAAGGACATTCACTTAGTGTAGTTTCTGCTTAAAATTTTTTTTCTTCTTTTCAGCACAACTAACTTCAACAAAGTCTCAATTACAATGATAATTTTACCTCAATGCTTTGTGAATAAAAGAAATTCCAGTTTGACATGTGTTTTATCTGCCATTCATGATACATGTGTCTATTATTATGGTAGTTCGTGTTTTATCTGCCATTCATGATGCATGTGTCTATTATTATGGTAGTTCTCTCCCCCCACCCAAAATAAATAAATGAATAAACGTATTTGTTGTTGGATGAAATTGTAGTAAATGCACTCTCCTTTTTAATATTTTAACAGCTCTCAAATTTTCTCTTTGATAACATTATAGTGCACCATACTCGAGAATTATCTTCAAATGTTCTACATATGGTTTATGAGCAGAGAAAAATAGTGTTGAGGGGATTACATTTTTTTATTATTGCTCCTTGGCATCGATCCTCATCCTCCAAAACTGACCATTTTATTTTCTACAGCTGAAATTATTTCTAATTCCGTTTCTTTTTTAGTGAGTATGTGGCTTAGTGGGGAAGAAATTAATTGCATCAGAAACTTCTATATCTTGGTAGTTGTATTTATGCAAGACAATATAGTTGTTAACAACCATCTACTCCCAAAGCTTAAGTTGTTAGAAAGGGTGTAACTTTAATACTTAAATCCTTCAACATGCCCCCTCACGTGTGGCTTTTTTGGTCCAACACGTGTTTCAATTGTAATTATCAGGGTGACGGTGAGGTTTGAACTCGAGACTCCGATACCATGTTAACAATCATCTACTCCAAAACCATAAGATGTTAGAGAGGGTGTAACTTTAATATTTAAATCATTCAACAATCGTACATTTCAAAGTGCCGTAAATGTTGGTAAATTGTTATATATTATATAACCCTCCACCCCTTTCAGCTAGACTTCCACACCCTTACTCCAGCCGGGGACCTCACCTCCAATGAGACCCACCTCTGCCTTCCCCAAACTTGCTACAAAAAACCCTCCTCCAAAGTGATTGTCTCTCCACTCCAAACCTCCACAGCCACTTGCCCTATACAATGCCTTGTTAAACATATCCAGACACCTAATCCCCAACTTCCCTAACTAGATCAGCCTACAACCCCAAGGGGATATCCTAATGACAAAGACTCTCACCTCACAACTTGGAGGTTGGGAGTTTGAATCCCCTTGGGGCCACCCCCAAGGAATTTCCCCGGGGATTGCCCGGTGCATGTGGGACGGGGGGACTGCTTGTGCCCAATGGTGGATTATTGGGTGCTCGAAGAGGCCTGACACCACCATCGCCGACAAGGAAAAAAAAAAAAAAAATTCTCCCAATTAACAAGGTGATACTTGCACTCCTCCCCCATGCCACCCCATAAAAAGTTACTATGTAACTTCTCAATCCTCTTTGCTACAGAATTGACATATGGAACAAAGAAAGGAAATAGGTTGGAAGATTCGAAAGAGTGCTCTTCATCATAGTGATACGCCCCCTTTCGATAAATACTACTTCTAACCGGCTAGTCTCCTCTCTACCTGTTCCACAAAAATCCCAAATGGCAATCTCCACACCGAAGCAGCTAAGGCTAAGCCCAAATAATATGTCAATGGAAAAGCTTCTACCCCACACCCTAAGATGCCATCAATGGAATCCATCTCTCCCACCTCCCCTATTGGAACAATCACACTCTTCCCAAGGTTGATTTTCAAGCCAGACACAGCCTGAAAACAAACCAGTACACATCAAAGAAATCTCTGCCAAGTCTCATCTGCATCACAGAACACTATCGTAACATCAGGAAATAAAAGATGGGAGATCTCATCTAACTTGAGGGATTCCTGCCCACTCTAAATCCTCTAATATATCTCAGCTCCACGACCCACCTCATCAATCTGCTAAAAGCCTCCATCACAATAGAAATGGATATCCGAATCCAACTCCTCCATCTCACCGAAATCCATCCTCTCTAGCATGTACAACAGGTAATCCCACTCACATGGTCGTAAGCAATCTCAATGTTAAGCTTACATACCACCCCTGGCACCCCCCCACTACTCAATCTGGAATCCTCACACTCGCTGGCTATCAAAATCGAATCCAAAATTTGGTGCCCTCCAACAATGGCATTCTGTGTTTCCAAAATCACTCCATCCATCCCATCCTTTAGCCACAACGCAAGGACTTTAGCTATTAGCTTGTATATATAGTCCACTACACTAATAGGTCTAAACTCCTTCGCATCAGTGGTCCCCCCTTCTTAGGAATGAGATCTATAAAGGTGGCATGCAAGGGTTTCTCGAAGCACCCAAACATATCTTTTTTGATTTGGTATTAACTCTTATGAGTGTTGTTGTGCATCTGAAATACATGTGTTAACCCATTTCCTTTAAAACCAATGATTTTACCATTGAGATATAAAAAGAGAAGAAGGAAAAGATTAAAAAAATTTAGAAGTAGCTCAGCTCCAAAGTAGAAAAATTCTCTGATAAAAGATATTTTAATATAATGTCAGAAGCTTATTTTCTTTGAAATTTCTCCTTTCTGTCCAAATATGCCAATAATAGGCTTGCAGAATGCTCCTATAGAATGCCTTCTTTTCTTGCTCTGATCAACCAAACTAAAATTATCCGAAACTCATTTGAGGCAAATTTCTCAGTCCGTGAAAAGAGCACAATACCAACAGGCTAGTAGCCTAGCGGTACCAAACTCCTACTTCCCAAAGGGAGGTCAGGGGTTCGAGCTTCAATGGAGGCATGTGTGTGTGAGTACCAACTAAGGAAAAAAAAGAAAATAGCACAATAAATAAGCTATGACATTGGAGAATGAGTGATCCAATACCTCTCTAGTTACTCCTTACACATTATGCATATGGTTAGGAACCTGTGAATTTCTATGTTTGTCAAACAGTCCTTGTAAAGCACTAATCTCCCTTTGCTTTCAAGTTAAGCATGTGGCTTTGTCGTAATAGAAGGACTCTCCACCATCTTAGCTGTAAAGCAACACCTTGAGAGTTAGCCAGATCATCCAAACCTTATTAAAGCATTATATCAAAAAAGTTATTTAAAATATAAAAGCAATTGCGACTTCCCAAGAATTCAGTCTCCTAATAAATATGATGTTATAGTATGTCTCATTTTCTACCTGCTTCACTCTATATTGCAAACAAGCCTTTTCATCCATATTCATTTCAGAAGGGTGCATAGCTTCATCCTTGTGGAGAGCATATTCACACCAAATATGAAGTTCTATTTGTTTTCATCTTTGGGGGCGGGGGTTTTATGGATTTTTAATTCGGCCAATGACAGTGTGGATGAGTTGTTTAAGCTAGGCCTGATCACGGTTCAGATCGGTTCGGTTTGGGGCTAAAGATCAAGCCGAACCGGTCTCCACGGATTGGTGTAAATTGAAACCGAACCGATCCATGGAGGCCCTCAATCTGAACCAAACCGATCCGTGAAGTAACGGATCGGATCGGTTTCCACGGATTGTTGTTAGGGTTTTGAGCTTGATCTCTGGTGGTTTGGCTTTTCTTCCATTTTTTTTCTTCTTCATAGACTCGCGCTACAGCATGCGAGATCATCATTGTTGACGCCATCAAAACCGTTGATTCAGCCTACCAAATCAGATCGCGTTTGTGTGTGTATATATATACACTGCTATGACGAAGGCCTGTAGATTCAATCACGTGAATAGATTGTTGGAATCAGAGAAATGGATTCGAATTAGTCAAAAATTAACTCTGAGATTAACAAACAACTAAAAGAGGCTGGGCCGTTTTTTTAGTTTTTTTTTTAAGAAATTGAAATTATTTAAGTGTTAATCTTTGTATCAAAATTGAGCAATTGAAAAGAGAATAGAAAGCAGAAAATTGGACGAAAAAGACGCATCTGATAAGATAGTTTACCTTCACAAACTCAATTGTTGGTGTTTTTTACTCCATCACCGGAAAAGAGGTAGAAGCAGAGGTCGCCGTTGCTTCAAATTTGGTGAACGATGGATTGAGAGATGTTGGATTGAGAGGCTATTGTGAGGCGAGAGATTGGAAGGCGAGAGGAGGAAGACAGAGGCCAAGAGAACTAGAGAAGGGGGTGAAGACTGAAGAGAAGAGGGCTGAGGGAGTGGGGAGGCACAGCTGAAATGAGATGAGAGATGAGAGATGTATTTGGGAGCTAGGGTTAGGTTACAAGAATAATGAATCAAAAACAATACGGCATATTCAATGTTGTATATATATATATATATAATATTAATATATTATTTATTTAACGGTTCGGTTCGGATTGGTTAACGGTTTGGATTGATAACGGTTCTGTTCGGATCGGTTTTTTCAGGATCCAATCCGTTAACCGAACCACGAATACCGGATTGCAAATTTTCTAAACCATCACCGAACCACACGGATTGGATTGGTTTGGACTGGATTGACGGATTGACGGATTATTTGCTCACCCCTAGTTTAAGTTCATAACTTCTATGTCTGTGCCTATAGAGCTTATTTTTACCCCCTTAAGGGCTTTTGTCGTTTCTGTGCGTATTGTTATTTGTATGTCTTTATCTCTTTCCCTCGTCTTTACTTGGAAGGATTCTTAATCCATTTTGTCCTCAATTCTTTTTTATTAATATAAAGTCATTTCTTATAATAAAATTTTGAATCACACCCCTCGGCTTTTACACCTCATGATTTACAAAATTGTCAAGTCATAGTTTTCAAAGTTCAAGCACCCACTGCAGAAACTTTACTGCACTTACATACTGCCACTTTCTCAAAATTAGTGCGACTAGTCCGCAAAAGTGCTACTGGTCGGACTTCTTCAGCACTCCGCAATCTTCAAGAACCTGAGACACAACCCCAACACCTTTTCCTTAAGCACAAGTGGTCCAACTATGTTCTTAGAAGTGCTATTCTACTGAGACAAGATGAACATAAACTCATCTCTCATCTAGGAAGCATGGGGACATGCCTAAAAGGTCAAAGGATCCATGCCAAAAGACGTGCCTGGATTTAAAAAAAAAAAAAAACAAAAAATTTCAAAATGTTGCGGACATGCCTCAGAGACACCATGGGCATGTGTTCCACACGCATGTCGCATCGTGGGGGAGTTTTAGGAAAGTTCTAAAAAAAATTAGGTTAAAGTGTAAATTTGATGACTTCTTTGAACATTTTTAATTATTATTTTTATAGCTCATTAATTATTATGATTTGTAAATTTTTAATTGTTAGGTTGATGAAAAATAATATTACTCTTAAAATATTGATAATATATATAAAAAATAATTAACATGCAATCGTTATTAATTTGATGAGTTCACTCCTACAGGTCTACTTCAAAGCAACAGATCCATTTAATGAAAGGTGGCAGAGTGCATGGATCATCACTGCTTTCTGGGACATTCTTGCATTCCTGTTGCTCTGTGTCATCTGCTATCTCTGGGCCCCATCACAGAGCTCTCAACGGTGTGTTATAAATTTTATACTTGTCGGATAGTTCCTGTTATTTCGTTTTGGAAATTCCTTTTAAAAAGAAAAAAATATTAAGGAAGATTTACCAAACATTTTCGTTGTAGATCGATTTCTCTAGTGTAACAGAAACATTTCCTGTTTAAGTCTGAAGTATATTTTCTGAGATTTTACCTTGAATTCATACTCGTAAATTCAGAGATCTTTCTTTTTTTAATGGGCTTGTCAGACATCTTTGGGGCTAGGGTGGTTCCTAAATCGAAACCATGTGCAGGTTAAAATGTTGTTGCATTGATATTACAAGTTTATAGTAGGTTCTATTAGGCAGAAACTTTAAAGCTATTTGTTTCGTTGTTATAGTTTTTTCCTCATCACCATACCTTTCTCGTCCTGTAATATTCACAGGTATGCCTATTCAGACGAAGTAGGAGAAGAGCATGATGATGAAGAAGCTCAGGCCCTATGCAGAGGAACACCCAAAGGCGACGTCAGTTTAGTGAAACAGGAGAGAAAGGAGAAGAACATTGATAGTGCTGAAGTTTTTGTTCTAGAAGACGAACCAGAAGAGGATAAGAGGGAATAGTTCCTGAGAATTTGTCCGTTTACAGCCTTCTGTAGAAATTGATGAAAATAGGAGAAGAATCAGAAAATTACTGAAAAAAAAAAAAATTGGAATGCCCAAGAGTGATGCTTTTGAATGAGAAAATGAAATCTTGGAAAAGGAGGGAGTTGAAAGCACAATAGTGTGATGTGCTTTGATGAGGTGTGTCATCGTGATTGTAACAACTTTCTTTTGTGGAAACTTTGATGTAACTAGAAATGAGTGTGCTACGAAACGATTGAGTTGTGTAAAATCAGTAGTGGTAGTAGGGATTATACAAAGTTTATATCTTCAAGACATCTACATCATTGGGAACCTCTCTTTCATATTAGTTGTAAATTCCTCCATTTAATTGTTTTCATTGAAATTTCTGAATAAAATTACCATTTATCAGCTGTTTAGCCTATGTTCAATTTTCACTTCTCAGGAAGGGACTTGGTAATGGGAGGTATCCCATTCTGGTTCATATACTTCAATGTTCAATGTTGTTGGAGAAATAACATGTTTGCCAGTCAAATAAATTGTTTGGATAAGCTCATTTTGACATTTGAAAGAGAATAATGTTAAAAGACTCTCCTAGTGGCGTGCGTTGAGAAACGCTCCTGGCCGCCACAACACACACTATTCAAGTTAGGAGTGCGGTTCAAAAGAAAGACCTTAATGCCGCTATACTCTTGGGGCAACGCATATGGTTAGATGTTAAATTAGTAGGTGCAAAGAGTCGAAGCCTGACACTCCCAAAATCCACCGAAGGCACTAACCACTGGGCTATTGAGGCATCTGCCAATTAAATGCATTTGATAACATAATTTAAATAATTTTTTAAATGGTAAGGGCGACTTAAAATGAAATAAAATTTTAAGTGTCAAAAAAATTACTTATTGCTATACGTTTACACTTTAGAACGATATCAAATAAAGAATATCATCAAATAATATTTATTTTTTAAGAGTTAAGTGCAAAAAAAAACCTTGTTATATACCAAATGTGCAAGAAACACCCCTATTAGAAAAGAAGTGTATATAACTCCCTCTATTATTCATCATTTGAGCAATCCCTATTGAATAGATTGATTGAAAAAGAGCAGTTGGTGACCTCATCTATTTCTAAAAACCCAAAAGTGCTATTTTTATGTGACAAGAATGCCCCTACGAATTTTGTATACATTTGAACATTAAATGGATCTATTTGGTGTGCTTCAAGACTTGTCCAAGTAAAACACTCTCTCTCTCAATTTTTTTTTCTCTTAAATATGGTTTTGTGATTGCCAATATTATCTTTTTAAATTTTTTTTCTCTCCATAATATCTCTTTGTTCAATTTTTTTCTCTCTCTATAATATGTCTTTGTGGCCGTCTCTTTATCTAAATTTTTTCTCTCTAAAATATCTTTTTATGGCTGCCCATTTATATCTCTATATTTTTCTCTCTCTTTCTCTCTATAATCTCTCTTTGTTCCAATTTTTTCTCCTTTCTAAAATATCTTTTTGTGGCCATCTATATATATATATATATATATATATTTATATATCTAAATTTTTTTTCTCTCTCTAAAACATCTCTTTGTTTTAAAATTCTCTCTCTATAATATCTCTTTGTGGCCGTCTCTCTGACCATATATATCTCTCTAATTTTTTCTCTCTAAATTTTTTTCTCTCTATAATATCTCTTTGAGGCTGTCTCTCTATCTCGATTTTTTCTCTCTAAAATATCTTGTGGCCGCCCATTTTTTTTTCTCCATAATTTTTTTTTCTCTCTAAAAATTATGTGCTGCCAATATTATCTCTCTATTTTTGTTTTTTCTCTCTAAAAATCCCATTGTTGCCAATATTATCTCTCTAAATTTATTTTTCTCTCTAAAATTTGTCTCCCCTTTAAATTTCTCTCTGCCAATCTCTCTCTCTAAATTTGTGTTTTTCTGAATTTTTTTCTCATTTATTTCCTCTTTGATTTACCCTTATATTTTGTTTCTCATTTTTTTCCTATTTGCTCTGCTCTTAAATTGTGTTAACAGCTATGAAATTGGTTGGAAATTCAAGGAGCCAATCACAGCCACTCATACCACTGCATCTAACATAAATTACAGGTAAAGAACATAATCAACCAAAATGAGCAAAAAAAAAAAAAAAAGTGTTATAACATCAGTTAAGGTGAAGATTAGTACAGCGAAGGTACTACATGTAATATGAAGGGACAAGAGTGCTTGGCAGTAATTGTCAAGGTAGATGGCAAGTATACTGCATCTTATCATTCAATCAAAATGAACATGGCCAAAAAAAGGTTATAACATCATACAACTTCAGTCTCAACCACAATATACATGAAAAACAAGTTGCAACCCCACCAACTGTCATATACTGCATCCCATTTACAAAGAAAAAAAGTATTGCATCCCATCACTCAAACCAAAATAAACATGACCAGAAAAAAATTTTATCATCACTTGAACAACATCCCAGCTTCAGTGAGAGAAAGAGAGTGAAGATCGTCTCGTTCATGTTTTCAGAGAGGGATTGAATAGAGAACGACCGAGCAACTGAGGGGGTGTGTAGTGGGTAGTGTCTAAGGCTTTAATTTGGGTATATTTTGGTGGTATCTATAGGTCCTTTTGGGTGTGCTTGCCCTTAGGCGCAAGGAATACTGGAATACGTAAAATATTGTTAGGTTATGATTGTAAGGATAATTTTGACATTTTGTTTTTTGTTTTTGATTTTTTATTTATTTATTTTTTTTGTAAAGTAAGACTATCAAAATTATGATTTGTCCTTATTTGCACAAATTAGAAATAGGGGGTTTACGGAACAATAGGGGGGTAATTGCACATTTAGTATATAGAGGGGAGTTTTTTACACTTGACCCATTTTTTAATTACAACTTGAAAAAAACTTGAGCAATTAAAATTCTAACTTCTAATTTTTTTAGTTTAGTACTTAATTGTCAACTAGCACACCCCTTCAAAGATTGATATTCTTGTCATGACTTTCACGCGATAACTAGATTTATACTCATCAGTGCAGTCAATGAATACAAAAACTACTGAAATTTATGAATTGTGGAGGCAAATAGTTGCAATTGAACACTACTTGTTTCAGTGTCCGTTTTTAAATTCCAGAAGCTGAATTTGAAAAGGTAAGAACGAATATATTTTTGATCTAATCTAATCTGCATGTTTATCATGCAGAAACAGCCTGACATAAAACAATAAAAATTCTAAATAAAATAAAATATATTTAGGAACTGCATTGACATCATTATATATGAACCTTTGCCCTTTTTTTATAAAACAGTACATGATAAAGGAACAATGATATCATGAAATTACATGTTTACATGGTAAAATTCACAGACGAATTTTCACAACCAGAACCATAAAATGAGAAGGGAATTGGGAATTACAAATGGGCAATTACACAATGGAAAAACCAACTTTTCCACCTTCCATTTTCAGTCATTCTATCACACAAAACATAAAAAGATGAGAGGCAAATGTGCATCTAAATGTTAGAAGGAAAGTAGAATTAAATCCTTTCTTTTCTAACCCTAAATAGAAGACCTAAGAATTGTTTCGCAACCTTTCCATCGCCATTAAGATCTATCTCCGTCCTCTAATTGCTGCTTCTCTACGCCTTCGTCTCCTCCCTGACCGTCCCAACAACACCCTACCCTGGCGGCGAAGGCGGCCAACTAATGATAAACCATCATTATCACCATCACCATTATCATCACTGTCAGTGTCTTGATCAGATGAATCAAAACCACCGACAGGAGTGGTGTGACGCAATCCAGTAGCACCTGCATCAAATGTGCGGTCGAAGTCCCCATCGTGTCTCCTCATCCCTCTATTTGAGCCAATATTCCCTGCGGCTGGCCCAAGTGCATGCAATAGGAGAAAGACGTTGACGAAATTGCTGTCAATCCCCACACCAAACCCCCCACCCCTCCCTGTGGCATCTGCATCAAAACCGTCTTCTTCGTCTGTATCAAAACCATAATGACTTCCTTCTATGACATAATCACCAAAAACCATTGCCCCTGGCATTGATGACGTTATGGTGCTGATCACATCCTGCCGTTCTCGCTCGCCCTCGAGTCTTCTCCATTTCTGTTCGAGAGCAGGATCCACTTCCCGTGGCCGAGCAGAAGGGTGCTCTGCCCGCACATGTTTCCGCAGCTCCTTGTAAGTTCCGATGAATGAGCAGTTATCCTGCATACAGTTTCTCTTCTTAGCATTTAGATATTCCCGTGCAGGTTCCACTACGGTCCATCCCTTCACTTGGCCACGACAAAGGGGGCATGCAAGCTCTGCCATTTCACACTTCTCAGTGGACCAAGTAGAAACTGAGTCAACACTTGGGCTATCAACCGAGTCATGCAAAGGTCTACCATGTTGAGAAGATGTAACTTTTGTGTAGGCTTTCTTGTACTGGTCAAGGCAGTTGGAATACCGAAGGCTAGTGCCACACATATAGGGACGGCAACCCTTATCGTGAGAGGAACATAATAGAAGAACAGCATTGTGGGGATACTCCATGCATACGGAACAGGTTGCATCTTCCCAGTCTTTCTTATTCAAGACTTTTGAGCATTTTTTTGGGTGCTTGCCTTCCAATACATCCCGATTACAAGACGGCAATGGGTAGGGGGATGGCCTGCACTGTCGTGAAGCAATCCTACGTCGTCCTCTGGTACCTTTTGCCATTTCCAAACAAAACCTGAAAACCATTGTTGAAAGGATTTTACAACTAAAGAGGTGGTTTAATTAATAATATTAAACTAATAGCAGATCTGTCAGAACCAATGAACAGACCGGTTTAATTAATAATATTAAACTAAGAACAATACTTAGGTCCTCACTAGTGAGGATCTACACCATACTGACCGCTGATGTGGACCAATAATAAATGGACACATTCTATTTTAATTACCAAATCATAGATGGTAAGTGGGTATCTACCCCACTATATTGAATTTGGTAATTAAAAATGACGTGTCTATTTATTATTAGTTCACATCAACAGTGAAGATGGTATGTGAGGACCTAAGTATTGTTCTTAAACTAATAGCAGATCTGTCAGAACCAATGAAGGAACAGACCAACCAAATATACACACATTTTTATGAAAAGAAAAGCAAAAATAATTACTATCCAACATATAGTAGAAAAAGATATCACTTTTGTTGTGTTTCATACCCCTCTTCTCGGATTAAGTTGATTAACGAATGTTCTAACCCATTTAACAAGGGAACACCACATCAAGGCTAGACGATTGTCCATATGCACAATTATCAACTGATTATAACAAATATTTCACGCGTTCAACCATAGACGATCATGTTAGTTACTACAAGTTATATTCCAAATGAAGCTATTTCATAAATCATATTCTGAAATCGCCTTGATGGTGGGAGATTATCCTTGGATGTGCACTTTCTGAGGCACTTTCGGGATTGGGAGATTTGAGGATGCTTTTGATTTTTTGGAGTTATTGTATCGCCAGGAGATTGTGGATGGAGTTCCTGATTCTGTGGTTTGGGTTCCTTCTTCCCAGGGTCATTTTAAGGTTCGGTCTTTCTATAGGTGTCTTTCGGATGTTCCATGGGATCCATTCCAGTGGTAGGCTATTTGGCATTCTAAGGCACCTCTAAATGTGGCTTTCTTCGCCTGGACATCGGTGTTTGGAAAGACTTTGATTGAGGATAATCTTAGGAGGAGGGGTTAAGTAGTGGTCAACTGTTGTAGCATGTGCTTGAGAAATGAAGGGACAGTGGATCATCTTCTTTTGCATTGCCCAGTAGCTAGGGACTGTTGGATCTTGATTCTGACTTTGTTCGAGGTTCAATGGGTTATGCCCAGGTCTTCCAGAGGCTTGGAAAGGATGTAAAGTGGGGGGCCAAGTTCGTGATTTCTGGAGGGTCACAACTTTGCAAGTCTGGTGGCGTTTATGGCTTGAAAGAAATAGAAGATCTTTTGAAGGGATGGAGACCCCTATTGGCGTGCTGAAGTTCTCCAAATATGATACACTTATCCCATTTCTATAGACCTGTCAATGTATCGGATCGTATCTGGATATGGATCGAGTAGCAAATCCGATAACCCGATAGGGATCAAAGTTTGATAACCCATTTACTTAACAAATAAGCTTTGGATTAGAGTTAATCCAATAAGTTAGTAATCCGATTCGATTAATATATGTTGGGTTTGTTTGGAGTTCAATGGGTTATGCCCAGGTCCTTTAAAAATTTGATCGAGGCTTGGAGGGGGTTGTATAGTAGGGGGCACAAGTTCGTGAATTCTGGTGGGTTGCGCCTTTGTGCGTTCGGTGGTGTTTATTGCTTGAAAGAAACAAGAGATCCTTCGAAGAAAAGGAGAGGAGATTCTCCATTATTAGCACTCTTTTTTGTTGGGTTCTAAGGAGAAATTGTAAATCCATGGAGGAGAGGAGACGGTTGATTTTTTGGACTCTGAGAGTTCAGAGGCCCTATTAGGCCTTGTGTATCTTCTGAGGGATGCGTTCCCCTTTTAAAGGCTTCTTTTATACAAATTTTACTTGTCACAAAAAAAATTGTTTAGATTTAATTAAAAAAAGAAAAGAAAAAACCAATCACAACTTTATATGTACTAAAGTAAGGTGTCCTCACCTACATAATAATAATTCTCCTAATATACATCACCAATTCACCTGAAATACACACCAACATGAAAGTTCCAGAACTGTATAGTACTTTCAGGCTCAAGAAAAACGACGAGGGGTAAGAGAGCTCGTTCAATAGTGAGTATTTTGTGTTTGTGTATTCTCTCTCCTTTTCCTTCTCTTCTTCCTTTTCTTCTTCTCCATTAAAAGCCCTAATTTTCTATCTTTCACAAAAAAGTTATTTCATATTTTTTCCCATCGTCGTCTTCTTCCCTCTCTCTCTCTCTCTCACAGATTTCAGATCGGATCATTTATTATGCTTAGCGGATTCGGATCATATACACGGTAATCCGGTCCTAAAACGATCCATTTATAGGTCTACATTTCTATGATCATCTTTACCACCCTAATAAAAGTTTTTATTCTTCTACAATAAGATACTGTAGCAACTTTAAAAACAATGTACAATAGAATGGAGCCATTGAACATCTCCAACAGTTCCCTAATGATCATGAAAAGTGCTACATAACATTTGTGGTATTTCAAATAGATCCACTGGTCTAAACACAATCTTCAAATTCTTAGACCAGGCTAAACAAAACACACTGCATATCAAATTTAATGGTTTCGAGATAAAACACTGAAAAAAATAAATGCAGGAACTAAATAAACAATAATCCGGACAAATAAATAAACAGCAATGTTCTACAGACATTGACTACTTGGAGGGAGAAAGCATACTTGGGAAGAAGTACTAAATAAATAGATAAACAATGCTCTACAGATTTTAACTACTTGGAGGGAGAAAACATAATTGAGAAAAAGTACTTTTTCCAGACTACCCAACCCAGGTATTCCAAGTCAGTTAACATTCAACTCTTACTTGTCAATACAATACCAACTATTTTTTACCACAACAAAACCAAATTTTAAATCTATCAATACAATAAATTAATGAAGAGAAAATGCTGCTAATGAATCCATCATCAAGTCAGTCATCAGTGTCAAAAGTCTTTTTAGATTCCTCAAATCTAAAGAAGCATTCGCTATCGTGTATCCAACAAGAATTCCAAATATACATGTTTAGCCCAAAGTATCTTTTCAACCAATGTGTGTTTTTTCTTCCTTTTTTTTCCTTTCTCTTTTTTTCGCGTAATATAGGAAGGCTTGATGTAAGAAAGGAATAAAAAGGAAACTAATTCACATATTAGCCCAATAAAAAAAATGAAACTTGACTAGTTCATTCAAAACTTAAAGTACCAAGTTATGTTTTAAAAGAAGACATCAATGCATGACAGTTCAGTACTTCATTCTTGAACTAGTTTAAGTATTTTTGAAGGAATTTGAAACTCACCAATCTGAACTACAAATTTGGAAGCACGAAAATGCAGTAAATTCCAAATAATTTTTAACTTCTAAAGTTTAAGAGGCTAGAGAATAGGTACGAAGTTAAATGTTCTTAAAGGCTCAAAGTTTGTCACTTGACATAATCAAGATTGGAAGGGCAAAGAGTGAAATAAATAAATAAAATCAGTCATGCAGATAATTAGAAATAAGTTCATAGAAACATTTTTCTACCCTCCCTCCGAGAATAATTATGTAGAGAGTTCATCATAATCAACATTGCCTTAATCTCATATGAATGGGGTCAGCTACATAAATTCTCTTTCCCCATTCTTTTCTATTACAAGTCACCTCACTTGTGGTATTTAGCTTTTTCAAATCATTCTTAATAACTTCATCCCATGTTAATTTCAGTCACCCTCTTTGTCTCTCACCCTCTTCTATACATATTAGTCTTCCTCCTCTTACTGGTGTGTTTATAGGCCTTCGTTGAATATCTCCACCCACCTTATGAATACTTTCTCTCATAGCAATCACTCCAAATTAAACTCACACTTTGATTAATAACCTCTCTATTTTAGTCACTCATACCATCCATCTTACCATCCCCATTACAACATGAAATATAGAGAGATAAATAATGATAAATATGTACAAATAAACAACTAAAACAACATCTCGAGGCTCAAACTTAATAAAAAGCATCTATCTTAATTGATTAGGTAAAAAGAAAATTCATTTCATGATAGTCCATTAAGAGCTATGATCCAAGTTCCTAAGTAGAACAAGATGTTTGGTCTCCTTCATTGCTCAGTGGCAAGGGATGTTTGGTCTATGTTTTTTAGCTGCTTTTGGCCTGCTTTGGCTTTTTCCAGAATCCACGGTAGACATGTTAGAGACTTGGAAAGGGTGTACAGTGGAGAGCCAAGTTAGAGATGCTTAAAGGGCTACTCCCTATGTATTTGGTGGGCTTTGTGGCGCGAGAGGAATATGAGATCCTTTGAGGAAGAATCTCCAATTTGGTCTTTTAAATACAATATTTTATCTTCTTTATTTTTTTGGGTCAATGGGCGTGATTGTAATTCTATGGATCATCTTTTGGATTTTGTGGATAGCTTAAAGTTATAGTGTCGTCATGTACGACTTCTGTTTTCTTTGGGAGCACTCCCCTTTTGGGTGCCTTTAATGAAATCTTACCTATCGAAAAAAAAAAAAAAAATTTTCTTAAGTAGAACAGACATCATCCTAGATATGGACACGATGTGACGTAAATATTCCAACACATCAATCGCTAAAGGTAGGGTAGGGAGTAGGGACGCATCATGAACATAACAATATAAAAATAAATTATATTGACATTGCGTGCTTAACTTATGATGACCATGTGAAAAGTCATTTTTTCTATACAAAAGAAAGTGGGACATGGCTACTCTTAAATGAGTTTGTGTTTACAAAGGACTTGTGTTGGGAAGTCTATAAAATGTCTCACCCAAGAGTCTCTGTCCCGTGTGTGTATGTGTGTGTGTGTGTAGAGAGAGAGAGAGAGAGAGAAGTCATTCAAGTCAATGAAGTGTTAAACCATATCCAAGACTGCCCATAAAGTGTTGGTGACAGATACGGACACCACACCTTAGTAAAAGTGTCCACTTCATAATTCATCTCACATTATGTATGTTTCGGTTCAACAAAAACTCAATAAATATGAGAAAATGAGGGTAAAAAGGTCCTATAGAACT